ATAGCCTTGAAAACATCAACTATTTAAGTTCTTATTTTGCTCTTCTTCTCCTTAAGTAAAACACATATACACCGTAATAACTGTCATATATTGGAATCATGTGCTGCTGCTTTGGAGAAATTAAACTAATTCTCCAAGAAAACCTTTTTTAATCCTCAACAATGTTCTCACTGATTTTCATTTTAAAAAATATATTTTATGAAAATATTTTAATAGAAACAGATGTTACTGTAAATTAGACTGAATTATACTAAATCAACAAACGTTTTCACATATTAAAGTCATCTTATCATTGGAGATACTCAGATGCTGTAAACATGTATACTTTTTAGATTTTTTTTTTTCCCTTGGAAACCAAAAACAAAAATCTAAGCACCCCCAACCTCTGCCCCAACCATCTGAAAGAGCTCCTGTTCTCCACCAAGGGCATTCGAAAGCAAACCTGAAAAAACACTTCCAGCCATGATGGGGAAAGTGAACCAGACATGCCATTAAACCCTCCTCCTTTTAGAATTCAGGAAAAGCCAACCAGCATTAACATCAACACAGACCTTAAATCTGATAAGAAACATTTACAATCTATTATCTCTTAAGCCTGCCACCTGGAGGCTTCATCTGGCTAATAAAACCCCTATGGTAACCCAGGCATTCCTTTCTAATAATAACAATTCTTTCAACCAACTGCCAATCAGAAAATTTTTAAATCTACTTATGACCTGGAAGCCCCTTCCCCTTTGGGTTGTACCACCCTTCCAATGTAGACCTTCCATGTACTGATCAATGTATTATGTTTCTCTAAAATCTATAAAAGCCTGCTGTACCCTGACCACCTTGGGCACCTGCCATCAGGACCTCTGGGCGCTGTGTCACTAGTGCATCCTTAACCATGGATGGGGGGCGGGGGGACTTCTTAAACTGATTGAAACCTGTCTTAAATACTGTGGGGTTCACAATCTTCAACTGAAAGTTAGTGTGGCCCTAGTGACCTTCATAGGAGATAAAACATCACAATTTTCACGGACTTCATCATCTTATATGGCCTTTTGCTTTGGTAATCCGCAAAAACTACTTTTTCTTCACTCTTCCACCTTTCTCATGAACTACTAAATCTAAAATTTTTGGAATATGGTATACAAATACCAAGTGCTAAAAAATATATCATTAATTTGTATTTGTAAATACAACTTCAATTTAACGGTGGTTCTCTAAATCTCTTAGAACTTCACCAATAATTTCATATGGCCTACTTCAATGTTAAAATTTAACAGCTAAAGACAAGTACATTATTTAATAATGAACACACAATAATTGTTTCAGACAAAGAATAAAGAGAAAGGGAATCAGAATTACTCTGCATATAAGGCTATTTTTCACTGTCTCTACCCAGCTATTAAAATTTTGTTAATATCTTAAACCCAATTCAGATTTTGAGCCCTGTGGAGGTGTACAACTTCACCAAGAAAAACTATCTTCAATTATATAAGCAGAGCACTCTTACCAAAATGGGCCACAATGAGAAACCTTAGTCACATTCCCGAAATGAACTATTTTTGCTGAAGCTGATAAACTATCCATGATGGATAACTGGAATTTACAAACACACACTACAAGTGCTTTAAATACAACCAGTCGCTTCAAATTTCACCCTTGTCAAAGTTAATGGTGGATTAATATTGAAATCAGGTTGAATAAACTTCAAAAATAAATCTGCATAAAATATGTCAGATTATTCTCACAAGTATACACTGAGTTCAACATAAAAATACAGTAACTTAAAAGACACTCAGTATGTTCTATTGTACTTGCACAAAATAATATAAGATTACTCTCACAAGTATACACTGAGTTCAATATAAAGAAAAATAAACATACAGAATAACTTAAAACATTCTCGACAGGTTCTGTGGGTTCCTGAAATGGATAACAAAGGGAGCAGAGTAAGAAAATAAGGAACAAACACTTCCTGCAGGCTTATAAATACTTCTAAAGGATGTTTCACATCCAACACACCCCTTTTAGTGACACAACTGCTCTAAGCTGGGCCTCCAGCTGAGGATAAAAAGCGCCTGGGTCTGAAAGGTGTGAGGTGCTCAGAACCAGAGCCAAGCGCACGCTTTGCTGTCGTGTTTCAAGTCAGGACCCCGCTAACTCCACGTCCCGGAAACGCCCCAGGGCCTCCCACCCACGCGCCTCTCGCCCCACGGCCGCCATCGCCCACGCCGGCGGCCAGGCTGCCTAGCAACGCGGCGGGGCTGCCTGGCAACGCGGCCCACCCCGGCCCGCCCCCGCCCACGGGGAAGGCCAAGTGGATCCATTCTACCTCCTTTTTCTTCTGTCCTCCCCCAAGCTGGATGCAGAGGAGTAGCAGCAGGAGAAGGAAGGGAAAGCTCCCGGTGGGCAGATACCGCAGCCGCCGCCCCGCTTGCCTGCGGCGTGAAGGAGCGCCCCGGGCCCCCATAGTGGCAGGGCAGTGTCTCCTCCACGCCCGGTAGCCGTGCGCGCCCAGCTCCTACAGCGCACCACGCCCGCCCCGCCAGCCTCCGGGAGCCCCCTGGCTGGGCTCTCGGGGGTGGCAGTGGCTTTGAGAGCGACCCGGGCCGCGGCCGAGGACGCTGAAGAGGAGACTGACAGAGCATCCGGTTCACCGGGAGAGGACCTGGAAAGGCGCGGGATGGGGGCAGGAAGTGGGCGTGGCGAGGGAACGAGGCTCCGAGGGCGCGGCGTGCGCTCGCTCCCGGACCTGCCTTCCCCCAACCCGCGCTGGGGAGAGGGGCGTTCCTTTGGCCTGGGACCTCAATCTGAGGCCGTCCTGCTACTGAAGCTTTACTAGGTAGTCCAGCACTGTACCTGGGGCCTTACACAGACCTGAGTGCCTTCTTGGATGATGAAGGGGAGCTTTGGGGAATGAGAACCTGGTCCCTGCGGTCCCCAGCAATCTCCATTCTCATTGGGACATTATTAGGAACACAGCTCTTCTCCTTCAGAGCCCTGGCTTGCTCCAGAGCCCCCTGATGCACAGAAGCCGCCTCAAACTTCACAGCTGTTCCTTCCAGCCCCAAATGAAAGGCCTGAGGCGCAGCCTAGAATCTTCAGTGATTCCTTCAGCATCCATGGAGTGCATAAGTGCAGAGCACTGTACTAGCTGCTTTTAATACAAAAACAATAGGCTTACTTCAATTTCTATTCTGTAAATATTTTAAGAATCATGGCAGGCTGGGAGTGATGGCTCACGCCTGTAATCCCAACACTTGGGGAGGCTGAAGCAGGTGGATGACCTGAGGTCAGGAGTTTGAGAACAGCCTGGCCAATATGGTGAAACTCTCTATTAAAAATGCAAAAATTAGCCGGGCATGGTGGCGCACCTGTAGTTCCAGCTACTCAGGAGACTAAGGCAAGAGAATGACTTGAACCCTGGAGGAGGAAGTTGCAGTGAGTTGAGATCGCGCCACTGCACTCCACCCCAGGAGACAGACAAAAAAAAAAAAAAAAAGCATAGCAGCAGACTGTATTGAACATTTAATACGGGCCGGTCTGGTCTGTTCTAATGCATCATGATTTTTACTACTCTATCTCAAGATTTCACTTGTGCCCTGAGCACCTTTGGTAATCTAATAAAACCTGTAGCTGCAGTCTTAAAATAGCTCATATTTCTAAATGCATGGAATTAAATATATAGGATTAACCTAGCACAGTGGCTTACACCTGTAAACCCAGTAGTTTGGGAGACCTAGGCTTGCTTGGGTCCAAGAGCTGGAGACCAGCCTGGGCAACACAGTGAGACCTTGTCTTTCCAAAAAATATATATTTAACAGCTGGTTCTAGTGGGAAGTACCTATAGTGCTAGCTATTTCAAGGCAGGCTGGGTGGATCACTGGAGCCCAGGAGTTTGAGGTTACAGTGAGTTCTGATCATGCCACCACACACTCCAGCCTGGGAGACAGAGCAAGGCCCTGTCTCCAAATATATATATATATTACATATATAATATATGTAATAGTTAAGAAATATATACATATAAATTGTTCAAGATATTTGCAACAACTCTACTGAGTATGAAAATATCTTTAATTTCAATAGGAAACAAAGCCGTAGGTTCTGATAATACTGCTGTGGTTTGTTGCCTGCGTTTATAATTGAAAGAAACTAAACTGTTCTGAGGTTTAATAGACATAAAGTTACGATTTTTTCAATACAAGGTTCACAGATGCTGAAATTTTGTGGACTCCAGATTAAGAACACTTGCTCCACAACAACCCCACCAACTAGATTCCATTGTAACAATTTTCAGATAAAGAAATTAAGGCCCAAAGAATGTGAACATCGACACCAGCTCTACAGCCATGCTTATGTTAGGCTGCCTTTGTTGTAGTTTAAAAACAAATCTCAATTTTCTATATCCCAGGCATTTGATTTCCCACTATTATGTGAACATTTTGCCCATAGTAGCTGTCACTCCTGTTAAAAGAAAAACTTGAGACAAATTAAACTTTACAGCTTATTTCAGTAAACAACAATTTATAAATCTGCAGCACTCTGAACCAGAAGCATTCAGAAAGCTCTCCTCCAGTGGCCTGAGAGCAAGCTTCTATAGACTAAACAAGGAAGGAAAGTAAGGAAATTACCTGATTGGCTATAACTAGGTTTGCCTTATTTGGTCATGGTTTAATAAGACATTTGCCTATATGGCTGATGGGAGGTCCCTAGTTGTATAACCAATCATCCTGTTGTTGGCTGTTCGTGATTGCCTGAGACTCGTGGGCTTTTTTAATAAGTCAGTTACAAGAACTGTTTCCAAGTGCCTATGTGCTTACGTAAGAGCTCCAGGTAAGCAACAACCCTAGGCTAATGGCCTTTTGCTTATTTTTGCTTTAATACTCCAAAAACAATGGTTCCTTGGTTTTCCCTTGAGACATAAAAATGGCCTCAACTTTTGTCTGTTTGGAGATGAGTACATTTATTATCTGTATCAGTTAAATATTGACATCCAGATATACTCAATGTAATCACAACTCATTATCTTTCCCTTTCTCTCCCCAGCTTGTCTTAATTTCTTTATTGGAAACAGTGGTACTTCCATCCTTCTAATTACCAAGTTTCAGAGCGTCAGAGCTGTCTTCCATTTTCCCCATTTTCCCCAACTATGCTGCCTTTATATTCAGTTTCCAAGTTACCCTCCCTCGATAGGGTCTTAGGAATTTGTTTGCTATTTCCCGGTGTGTAACTCTAGCATTCATTAGAAACACATGAGATGTCATTATTAGTTGACCCTCCTTCCCTTACTTACGCTGATGACAAGAGTCAAACTCTGTAAAATAGTTAAGGAGATTTATTCTGAGCCAAGTATGAGTGACCATGGCCCATGACACAGCTCTCAGGAGGAGGTCCTGAGAACATGTGCCCATGGTGGTAGGGGTACAGCTTGGTTTTATATATTTTAGAGAGGCATGAGACACCAATCAAATACATTTAAGAAATACATTGGTTGATTTAGAAAGGCGGGACAACTTAAAGGGGTGGCCTGGCTACGGGTAAATTTAAACATTTTTCTGGTTGACAATTGGTTGAATTTATCTGAAGACCTGGGATCAATGGAAAGGAATGTTTAGATTAAGGTAAAGGATTGTGGAGACCAGTTTTATTGTGCAGAGGAATCTCTCAGCAGACTTCAGAGAGCAGGTTGTACAATGTTTCTTATCGGACTTAAAAGGGTGCCTTGCTCTTAGTTGATTATCTTACCAGATCTGCAAACAAAGGAAGAAAAACAAAGGGCGGAGGAGATTCTCTATAGAATGTGGATTTTTCCCACAAGAGACTTTGCAGGGCAATTTCAAGGTATGGCAAGGAAATATATTTTTTCCCTTGTCTCATAATGTTATGCCAGAGTCAGACTGAAAAGTAAGTTATGGTATATAGGGTGAAATAAAAGACATCCGATGAGAATTTATGGTTTGTAGGGCATGACTCCCCAGACCCCTTGGAAGAAATTTGGGCAAGATAGAATATCAGACTTTAGTTTTCACTTACAATCTCACCATCCTCCTATACCAGCATAATCCAAGACTCCTTAATCCTGCTTTCCTGCATTTTTTTTTTCTTATTTTTGAGATGGAGCCTTGCTCTGTTGCCCAGGCTGGAGTGCAGTGGCATAATCTCGGCTCACTGCAAGCTCCCCCTTCTGGGTTCAAGCAATTCTCCTGCCTCAGCCTCCTGAGTAGCTGAGATGACAGGTGCCCACCACCACACCTGGCTAATTTTTGTGTTTTTAGTAGAGATGGGTTTTCACGATGCTGGCCAGGCTGGTCTCAAACTCCCGACCTCGTGATCCACCCCTGCCTCGGCCTCCCAAAGTGCTGGGATTACAGGCTTGAGCCACTGCACTCGGGCCCCCTACATTCATTTTTTAGTAAAGTGTCCACAGTGATCCTTTTAATACATAAATCAGTGTAAAGTATTACCTCTGTCCTTACCAGCAAATGCAAAACCTTCCATGGCCTCAGAACTTTACATTACTTTCTAACTGGCTACCTTTTCTGACATTATTTTCTATTTTTCTTCTGCTTTCTCATGCCGCTCCAGCAAGGCTAGCTGTGCTGCTTTCCCAAATATGCCATGCATACTCTGTCTCTACACTTTGTATTGCTGTTCCCCTTTGTTGGAACTCCTTTCACCTAGATCAGTGGTGCCCAATATTTTGGCTTCCCTGGGGCATATTGGAAAAATAACTGTCATGGGCCACATATAAAATACACTCACTAACACTAATAATAGCTGATGAGCTAAAAATATATGCAAATAAACTCAGGTTTTCAAAAAGTTTATGAATTTGTGTGGGGCCACATTCAAGGCTGTCCTGAGTTGCATGCCGCCTGCAGGCCACGAGTTGGACAAGTTTGACCGACACAGATGTTCACAGGGTATACTTCATCACTTTATTCAAGTCAAGGCTCTGATCTAAGATGTCATCTCCTACTTTCCCAAACACCCCTATACTGAAAATAAACTCCTTATCTTTTACACACACACTCCTTAACTTTTTATAGTACTGCTACTATCGCTTCCTGACATTATGCTATTGTTTCATTTATTTCTAGTCTTTCCCAGTTAGGATGTAAACTCCATGGCACAGGAGCTTCGCATTCATACTCTCTGGAATAGTGCCTGCTTTGCTTTCAATAGCATCCATCTCTAGCTGACAATATGCTGTTGTACTCATTTGTGTCTTTTCCTCTTAGAATGTAAGCTCTAGGAAAGTAGAGATTTTGTTTTCTTCACCTTTTAGTCCACACTACCCAGAATACAGCACTTGTTGAATAAATGGATAAATCCCACCCATTCTCTGTTTATTCCCCAAAGCACAGCACTAATCATGTCCCACTCCTTATGCCAAAGATTGTCAGTGATATTCTACTAGGTTCAAAAGGAGGTCCAAACTCTTGAAAGTGATTTATAACTAACCCGAACTCTTTATCCTTGCTTTAAAACGTAACCCTTCAAACTGGAGTGTACAAAGACTTTCTAAGAACTATATAGTCTCAATGGTTTTACAAACATTAATTTCCAGAATCTAAACTGCTATATATGATTCTATTTATTTGAATTTTTTTTA